CGGCTCCTCCCCTCCCCCTGCTGCAGGGGAAATACGGGACAATGTGCCTGTTTTTTTTTTTTTTTTAAACGTCAGGACACTGGGAACATACTTCAAATATGGGACTGTCCCAGTAAAAACGGGTTGGGTGGTCACCCTACTCATGAAGATGTTGTGAGGATTAAGTCCATTACTGATCAGGCAGGGCTCAGATACTATGATGATGGGAACTATTTAAGAAAATGGCTAGAAAAAAGCCAGGGCTACACTAGACCTGGAAGGTCAGGTTAAGGTACACAACTCCAGCTATGTAAAATACATAGCTGGAGTTGGCTTAGCTTAAGCCGAGCTTGGCGCCATCTTCATAGAGGGAGGCTGACAGGAGCAAATGATCCCAACAGCTTCCCCTACTCTTCATGACTGTGAGGAGTACCAGCGCGGACCAGAGCCACTCTCGGCATTTGATTTAGCAGGTCTTAACTAGACCTACTAAATCAAATGCCAGAAGATTGATCTCCACTGCAGTAAGTGAAGATGTGGCCAGAGGCACGTTAGTGGTTAGCATTGATTGAGGCTTCTACTTATTCTGGCTCTTCCACTAGGAGGAGACTTGGTCTCATGCAATTCTGATGACCCATTCAATAGAGGGCTTCTGTGCACAGACTAGCAGAAGGACAGATAGGCAGACAGGCAAAGGAAGCATGTTTTTATGTAGTCCAACATTTCTTAAAAGCAGAGACTATTCCCTTTTACACGGTGTGAATCAGGAGTAAGGCCACTGAAATAAATGGTGTGACACTAGCTTAAAAAGAATTATAATCAAACCCACTCTCTTTATAAAATGCCTTCATTTCAATTTTGAGTTACAATAATGACCAGCAAAGCTATAATTTCTTACCAATATAATTCATTCTGATTACAGAAAATACTAAACATTCCCAGGATGCTCCCATTACACCCAAATAACTCTGTAAGTAGCCTTTTAAATTAATCTTACTTGGAGTCTTCGAGGAGGATGCCGTTTAATAATACTTGTTTCTCCCTTTTCCATCATGATGTCAAAAGAAATGGGTCTGGGCACTTGAACAGAGAAGGAGAAGAAGCCAATAACAGTTTGAATACAATCTCAAATCATTAACTAGCAGGCTATATTACATAAAAGCTTCATGACCTTGTGGTTATAGTGTAACATGATTTACCTTAGCCTATGTTCTCAAAATACAAATAGCACATGGTGAATAAAATGCATCTGCTGGACACAAGAGCTGAGTGACTACCAGCAAAAAACTTCCCTGAATATTTGCTCAAAAATACCAATGAATTCCCTTTAGCCATGCATAACATCGACAGGCAGAACTGAACCTGGGACCTCTAGGGCTACATCTATACTGCGCTCTCTTGTGCAAGAAAATATGCAAATGAGGCGAAGCCATGAATATTGCCGTGCGTGTGCAAGAGCTGTTATGCCTGAAAAAAAAGCCCTTTGCGCAAAATGGCGCTATTATGAATATTGCCGCGCGTGTGCAAGAGCTGTTCTGCCTGAAAAAAAAGCCCTTTGCGCAAAATGGCGCTATTCACTGCTTTGCCTCATTTGCATATTTTATTGCGCAAGAGAACGCAGTATAGATGTAGCCCTAGAGTGTAGTGCATGAGCTGCTATAGCATGAGCTAAAAGCCAGATGCCTGTCAGCTAAGGCTGTTCGCTATAGCATGAGCTAAAAGCCAAATGCCTGTCAGCTAAGGCTGTTGAGCAAATGCATTCTCTCTATCATTACACAGCAGTTGTGTGGGTTACATATGTTCATGTCCTTTGCTTTCCACA